ATTTTATTATTACTAACGATATTACGATAAATCATATTTTCATAAACTTCATTGAAAAATTTATCAAATTGCTCACCACCTATTAAAATTTTTTTCAAAATAGCTCTCCCACAATGTTGAATATCTTTCTCTAAGAAAAATTCTTTTTGATTTTTATTTTTAATAAACTTGAATTAAATCTTCTTTTTTCTCTTTGTTTGGCTAGTTTATATATATATCACCCACCCTCAGTATCTAATTTATTATAGAGATCATTAAAAGCAGAATTTTTATAAAGCAGAATTTTTAGCATCACAAATTATTTTCTTAGATTTCCTATGGGTCATCTTAAATTTTTCCTAGCTCTCTAAACTTTTACATTTAAACTAATTTTTATAACACTATTTATATTTTATCTTTTCTTGCACATTTTTATTCCACCACCAACTATTTTTATTTATAAAAATTTTTCCTTTTGATTCTCCAAGTTCATCTTCGGACATTTATTTAATAGTGCTTATTGTTTTATCCCACATAGAATTAGTTTCTTCATGAACATCCCTAATCTTAAAATCTTGAAGTTTAGTTATAAAAATATTTTTTTATGCCTTTTAGGTACCCCCATCTAATTCTATGACAGTGTTTCATTGTATTATTTATCTTACAATTCATTTTAAAATCTAAAATTAATAATCAATGTTGAGTACTTAAATTTTCACTTTGAATGATCTTACAATATTTACATTCTCGACAACCTCTTTTTTCATAAAGAAATAAATAATGTGTTTTATTAGATCAATGCTTATAAGTAATAATATGCTCTATCTCTTTTTTTAAATAAAGTATTAGAAAAAACAAAACTATACACTAAAGCAAAATCTAATATGCCCTCTTCATTAATCAATCCAAAAAACTTCTACCACCCTGCCAACATTTCCGTTTAAAACTCTTCTGATAAAAATTCTTTCTTCAAGATGTATAATTTGTATTAATTCTTCTATGTCATTCCAGAATTTTTCTTTTAAACCTATGTCAAAATCTACTTAAGGAGCATAACACTTACAACATTGAAAATCTTAATGTCAACAATAATCTTCAAGGCTATAGTTCTATTTCCAATTCCATTAATTTTTACAATATTATGTTTCATACTTTTATTTATTTTTTCACCTACGCCATTTTTAGCGTGACTCTAACCTGAATACCAAAGTTTAAAACTTAAGCTATCAATCTCCTTAACATTTTCTCCAAACCAATTGGTCTCTTAAGTACATATGATGTTTATATTTTTATGAATTTTAATGTCTACTAATTCCATTAATTTACCTGTGAGAGTACTTATAATACAAGATCATAAGCTAATATTAGCTTCATGGACTAACTTCTTTGTTTGCATCAGTCCGTGATGTCAGAACCTTTGTTTATGAAATCACCAAAATTCTATTAAAATTAAACATATATTTTGATAAGATATTTATTATAGTAAATAAGATATTTAGATAAATAAGATTTACAAAGAGAGGAAAGGTTTTATGTATAAAAATACACTCTCAATTAGTTTAATAATTTTAAATATATATATTAGACTTGAATCAGCTCAAAATTCTACTATGAATTAAGCCCATATCCAAAGAAAAGCAAACGATTATAATTTCACTATAGAATTCTCTTTAAGAAAATATTTAATTAATAAAAATTAAGAAAAAAGATATGTTTTTAATAAGTTTTAAATACATACCACTTAATTCAGTATTTTATTGAAGTTATTTGTCTTTAAGGAAAAAATATACATAATCACTTCAAGTAATTCAAACTGAATTAGTTACTTAAATTCAGTATTTTATCTTCTAAAATTAGCATGGCATGCATTTAAATATAAAAATTTAGGTGTTCGATATAAATTTTAAATACATAAGAGACGTATGATATGAATGTAAATTCCACTAAAAATTATGTAAATACATATATGAACTCATAAAAAGAACTATGAATTTATATAAAAATATATTATCTAATATATTAACTCCTTTATGCCAAATAGGCTGCGCATTTTACAGTTCACCTTGAAACGATACAGAGGTGTAGCATCGAAGGATGGACCTCTCGAAATCAATCAGCAACGAAGCATCGTTGCCTCCTCTCGAGTTGTTTCCTGCAGTCGTAGGCGTTGGCGTAAAATTGCGGCGAAGAAGGCATCAATTGAAGATTCGATCCCTAAGCTAAAAACACCGCAGCAACTTCCTGGTCCTTCAAACTGTAGGCTGCAGCCGAAGGTTTCGTGCTCCTTTGCAACACAAATAGGAAGAAAATATTTACTTTGCTCCTCCCTTGCACTCTCCCAATTTCTTGCCAGCTGCGCTCTAGATCGAATAACAGCTGCAACTTCTCAATTTAATAGAAGCTGCTGCGGGAAGCTGTTACGAGAAAGCTGGCTGTCTGTTCATTGCAGTTGTGTGAAAATAGTTGTGACGCAGCTGTTTCTGAAAAATTAATCATTCTGCCCCTCTAATATATTTGTATGCAACAGAACTGTGACGCCCATATATTTGATATTTTAGAAGCATAAATTCATTTCAAAATAACAAAAATTCAGATACAACGCTCACTAAACAGTGAGTACTAAAAGTGCTACAAAAAATAGAAAAAAACTACTAAAATTACAAGTAAAATAATGATGATATTGTTTTTAACATGAAGGCAATGGATGTTTCGTCCTAAAGTGCCCTCCAATGATTCTATCAATTCGATGATCACTTTTTAGCAGCATTAGAGGACAGTTTAGGAAGAGACAACCATCGTCTTCATGTTAAAAATAATATCATCACTATTTTATTTTTAATTTTATTAGTTTTTTATATTTTTCGTAGCACTTTTGGTACTCATTATTGAGAGGTGTATATGAACATTTATTATGTTTTGAAATGAATTTCTACTTCTGAAATATCAAATATACGGTTTCACAGTTCTGTTAAAAACAAATTTACAGAACAGGGGCGGAATGATAATTTTCCAGAAATAACTGCACCATAACTATTTTTACACAGTTGCAACAAACATACAACCAGCTTCCCCGAATCACCTTCTCCGAAGCAGTTTTCCCGCAGTAGCTTCCTAAGGCAGCGCAGCTGCAACTGAAAATCTGAGAAACTATAACTGCGCCAAACAGAGTGTTTGACTCACATTGAACTTCAAGTACAAAGCGTGCGCTTGCCCATTTCGCTGTGCACATCAAGCCCATAATCTAATATGGATCTACATTCTATACTAATAAACTGAGCATTTTAATAAAATTTATCCTTCTTACAATAAGATTTTGAGTATAGTTTAAATACATATTCAAAAGCACAACTTAAAATGTTATATGCTTATAACAAATTCAAATAAGTTTGTTTGCATATCACTTAGTTATATATTTATAAATGCTATCATACAACCACAAAAAAAATCTCATTTCCTAAGATGTTACCGTTAATTAAAAAAAAACTTCTTTAAGCGCACTTATCCTCAATGAGAGAACAATCAAATGGAAGATAAAATTGATAAAGTATATATTTTTTTCCTTGATGGTCCAGTCAATAATAAACATATATGGCAATAACTTGAACCCAATAAAATTAATATTTCAATAGCTAAAAACACTAGTAAATCCATACAAGGACAGAGAAATCCAAACTCCTTTGAAAGTTCGAAACTCAAAGCCCTTGTTAAGTACCCTTTCTTAATTTTCTAAAGATGGCCTTAATCAACCTATTAGTACATACTTAATTTCCAAAAAATCCTATAACTTAATACACATCATTCGAGAATCCCACACATAAAGCCTTTCTTATTAACGTTAACACCAATAAAATTTCGCAACTCTATTTGAGACATTAAGAAATAAGAATAAGAATTATAAAAGGGCGATGTTAAGAAATAAGAATTATAAAAGGGCGATGAAAAAAAAAAAGATGAAAGTCCTAAAAAAGAACCACATTTGGGAGATGATTGTGTTAATTAAAAAAAATGTAATAGGATATAATTGAATTTTTACATTTAGAAATAAAGTTAATGGAAGCCAAAAAAAATATAAAGCAAAATTAGTAATGAAAGAACATACACACTTCTTCAAAAGACTTTTTCTTTACAATATGTGCTTGGGTTGCAAAAGAAATGTGATTTGTATCTTAATCTCTTTGAGTACTAAATTTGAAGAGTCCATAGACCAGAATGATGTAATGATGCATTTCTTCGTGGTGATATAAAGTAAGTTTTCAGGATTCAGCTCCGTTTAAAAAAACCATGCATGCAAAGTAAGAAAGGTATTATGTAAGTTGAAACAATGTCCAAGAAAACAGCTTGAGAGATTCACAAAGCTATATGTGAAATGGGAATATAAACAAAGCCAACAAGACCATACAATCTTTTTAAATCACTGAACTGAAGGGATAGGGATAATATTTATAGTGTAAGTTGATTATATAATTATAACAGTGCTGATAATGAAGAAAAAAATATCCAAAATTCAATGCAAATTTTGAGAAAGACTGGGCTGATTTGAACTCCTATATCCTAATAAAAAGTCAACTCACTAACATATTCATCAAAGGGCATTGTAATCTTGCATTAAAAAATATTCAGAAAATTCTGGGAATGGAAGATCTCTACCAACTTTTAAGGGATAGTATTGAAGAATGCTTGGAATGAAGACAAACAAATCTAGCAAGATCGACAACAGACCAAATATTTGAGCAGGGAAGAAAAGAAAGCCGGAGGATCCATCATGGAATGATATACAAATAAAATGGAAAAAAATATAACCCATGAATTCTGATAAAGGAGGCATGGGTTTAACAAGAAGTAATTGGCGCATTAAGTGTTTTTTGGAATCAAAACTGTTGTAATTATATGATAAGATCAAATAATTGAGCTATCTATTCATCCCTCTATTTATGTTGAAGTATCAGTAAGAGCAAAAGACATCAATATTCAGCATCTAAATTGCTATTTATAACTCAATAATTGCTATAGAGAGGTATTACTTGAATGTGTGCAACAGGACTGGACCCAAGCAGAACAAATTGTCCTCCAAGCTCCATTGTTTGATATATCGCATGCCGGATAAGATGCACACCCTTCTGGGGCACAAGTCGTGTGATGCAACATACCTGTTAGGGAAAAGATTATTAATTTGACGCTTCTGAAAGAGAAATGCAATTAGTCTTCCTAATGAAATTGGGTCTGAAAACCAAACATTGCAACTAACAAACTACCAGAATACAGTTAAACATGGATTAAAAAGTTTAACAGTTTTTTTCAAATGTAAAGGTGGGACAATGTACGTTGAAGCATAGATGACTTAACTACAAGATGACTCAACTAAATTTCCTCATCAACTGAAATGAGAAAACATAATAAAGATAACACCACACTCATACATAACATAGAATAATTACACTGAGCATATAAGAAAGCATCTCACTCATGAACTCCATTAGCATCAACATCAACAACAGTAGGTTCTTTAGATTTACTACAAGTAAGGGCATAAACTTGAGATCGAACTGACTGTCATAGTTGACCTTGAGTAGGAGCTAAAGTTGTTGACTCTATCCTCCTTTGCCCACTTGAAGTTTTTTGAGGAGCTCCACCTAGTGAAATGTTTTTCTAAGGTTTTCTGACCAAGTGAAGGGCAGTCTAGCAAGGTGACCAGGCTGACGACACCACCAACGGTTTGTATTTGAGCCCATCAAACATTCACATTTATGTTGTTTTCTACATTTGGCAGAAAAACTACAATACTCCAAGTCGTGATGCTACAAAATACACTTGAAATGAACTTGAGCTACTTTTAAATGGATCCCTCCAATTGATTCACAGGCTCTCATTCATCAATATTCTTCCTCTTGTGTGTTTCCTTACACTTCTGAATAAGTGAAAAACAATCTCTACTCGTCTAGCCCACCCCACTAACACTGAATAAACATTAATTCCCAACGGCACCAAGATTGTCTGATCAAATTTTCAATCCAAACAGAAACCTATAATACTTCTCTTCTGCAGTAGCTATCAATTATGGTGCATACCTTGATAGTGCAGTGAACTCTGCTTTAGATTGCATGACTGTCTTCTCTCCTTACACTAACTTGATGAATTTATCTTCCATCCGTCTCTGAGCAAATAGCAATACAAACCACTCTTTAAAAAGCTCCACAAAATCCTCCCAACTCATCATCATATTGGGTATTTCCCTTAGCATGTCCTAACGTTGCCCACGCCATCACCTTTCAACATCTATATCCAACACAAAAGTAGCTAACAATATATTTTTTTTTTTCGTTCGGACATGTCATATTGTCTAATATATTTTTTATCCACATCAGTCGATTATATGTTTCAATTGGATCTTAAATTCCTTTGAATACAATTGAACGCAGGCCTTGAAATATCTTCAAGTACTTATCCACAACAATAGTATCGCTTTCAATCCATTATAATGCATCCTGAACTCCTGAATCAGTAAATTCATTGTCATCATCATTTGGATCAAGACGGAGGGTACTTACAACTGACAAGCAAATGACTGACCAACTGATCTGAGTACGAGACACATCCATCCATACATCAATCCATCCATCGATCCATCTAATTATATAATTAAATTATCACTATGATTTAATAACTTTAATTGATGTAAATAAATTAACTTGCTTGCACTTCTCTCTTAAGCGCATAAACAAGCCCAAAGTTCTTGCTAGTCTTCCTAACCTTAATTAACATAATTCCACATCAACATCTTAAATATATATAAATTTAATACATATAAAAATTATAGTAAACAACCTAAACACATACCTTCATCGGCTCGGTTTAGATCTTTTGGCACGTGCCACTTCCTCCCTTCTCCTCTAATTCCTCTCCTCTCACACCAAGCCCACACGACACATTCTCCCTTCCACACCTCAAATACATTTGTCATACTCGTGCTCCACCTATTCCTCAAAACCAAAAGCAAATAGAGCCTCCTATACATGAGAAATTAGCACCTTCACTGCAGCAACGACATTGTCTTCATTCGTATAGAAGCCTTAGGTGTCAACCCTAGGAGTGTGATGCCTCGTCTTTTACGACATGACTCACCTCCCTTCTATTCTCTTTCACATTGGAGTCACTCGATGCTTCATCTTTCGATTAATTAGGGCACGAGTTCTCCTCCTTCGCTCGAAGAGGCCACACAAGCCGACGAGACTCTTCTTCCACTTCTTTCTTCCACAAGATGCCCATGATATCTTCTCCTAGAAGCAGTAAAACCTTTCGTAAACTCTAGGGTTTCTCCTTTAGCTTTGAGGCATCGTCTTCTCTTTTCTCACTCAAAAAATGGTTTTCACAGCAAGGTATGACTCTTCCCTCCCTTCTGCTCTAGTGTTCTCTGCCTCTGTCCCACTGTCTCTCGCTCTCTAACTCTCGCTTGCTACTCTAATACAGTTGAACATGAGAGGAAATGAGGGATAAGGCCTCCATTTAATTCACTCGCATATATATATATATATATATATATTTTAGGAAAGGAGCTACTCATGACTTCTTACGCGTTAATATCTAAAGGCGGTTACAAAATATTGGAGGGAAAGATGGTTCCACTAAAAATAAAGAGAATACATATAATCCTAGGGGTTCCTCCTTCCGCATTACAACTCCACCCAAAAAAGAAACAAAGAAAAAACAAAGGTAAATGTAAACCAAAAGTATATGTATCCAACCAAAACGTATACCCAAAAAGTGAAGTATACCTCATATGAACATGCATAAAAAATGAAACAAATGTAGCACAAGTTGCAAGCAAAAAACAGACGTCTTGAAAGCTGGAAAAAGCACCAACGAGCAAGTCCCAAAATTCAAAAACTTGCTGCTCAAAAACTGTGAAAACACCAAACAAACAAGAAAACAAGTGAGCAATAAAGAAAGATAATGTTCCACGATCTTCCAACCCCCCTTCGAGAAATGCATATAACAAATAAGGAGCCACGGTCCAATCCAAAAGAAAGAGTGAAAGCCTCGTATAAATTTGAAGACATGAGCCTCCATATCGAAAATAACAAGCCCATTCACAGAAAAAAAAGGTAGAGTTGGAGCAGTGAGCTTAATTTCCAATATCCAATCTCACTAGTATTCCCAGAAATATTACTGCAATAAATCTGTGACCACGAAACCCCCCCCCAAGCCAAAACCCGACGCAAGACCCATCTGCAAGGCCACCAAAGTTTATTAGAGTCAACCTGCCCAACCATAGCCAAAGTAAGGAGCCCTGGGCCTCCCAAGTTATTCATCTCATACGAGGCAATGGAGCCTTGAGCCTCCATGCTAGTATTATAAAATCATCCATCATATGAAGCATAAATAGATGCCACCTGCTCCACAGAAAAGCGGGCAACCAAAGCACCCCAGAGATAAATAAAAAGGAATAAAAACAGCCCAAAGAAGAGTCTGGGCCGAAACAAACCACCCAGCAAAAGAAAATAAGTTAAGAGGAATCATCCCTACGAATATAAGGAGCATCGATGTTGTCACAAACCAGCAGAGTGTGTAAAGAGGGGAGGGAGTAGATCCCACCCTACAAATATCAGTGGAGCTACCTAAATTGGCAAAGCCAATTAGTAGGTTAGTTCCCCTCCCGGTAATTGAAACTCCACATGACATTCATATTGAAGATTAAACATTTAATCCTCTTTATATAATAAAGAACCAAGAGGTCTCGGCACCATTTGCCAAAATATCAATCAATATGCAATTATCACATTCAAAAATAATAAAATGTCAGCTGAGAGCGTGAGTCATAATAGCAGCCGTTAAAATGTCCCTAGCCTCAGCCTCTATGATAGCAGCCCCTAGCCTCAGCCTCTATGGAAGTATCAGCATATCAAGGATATGAGAAGAAAATAATATAGTTCCCTGCATAGTTTCTAGCAATGCCCCCACAACCAGCACTGTTGACTTTCCAACTCCCATCTGTGTTAAACTTAATCCACCCCCTAGGAGGAGGCCGCCATCTAACCAAAATTGGTGGATGAGGGAGCCTCCTCTCATCCAAATCCGTATGCCCCATAGAAAAAAAATAATTGATGCTTGAAAAGAAACTTTTTTTAAAGCTCCCCATTCCCCACAGCTTATTAATGTAGGCAATAATATTAGTAAAAACCATCATACCCTGAATGGCCTTACCTTCATGAATAATCTCATTACGAGCCACCCAGATAAACCAATATATGATGTAAGGGTAAATTTGTAAAAAATGTTTCTGCTTGCGGTTCGGATTGCAAATCATGGTAGTGAGCAAAAGATTCCTCTTAGGAGTGACGATATTATCAAACCACAAACCAACCTTACTTCATATAGATAGTGAAAAGGGACAAGAGATGAAAATATGTTCTATAGTCTCCTCTACCAAATTACACAAACAACAACGAGAGGCTATTTTCAAACCTTTCAACTTTAATATATCATCACATGGTATTATAGAATGGAAAATGGGCCACGCCAGTAAAGACATGGAGGGAGTTAATGCCCAACTCCACACCACTTCACCCCAAGGGAGTTTTTGAAAATCATGTAAAGAGGCATATAAAGATTTAGTAATGGAGCTAGTCATGAGAAATTTCAAAGTAAGAGTATCTTGCAAATAAGGGTCAAAAGAAATAGTGAAAATGAACATAGCTCCCTCCATCACTAAAATGCTAGTGAAAAGAGGAAAATTCCAATGGTCATCTACCCAAGTAAAAGTTAAGAGAGCTAGTGAAAATAAAATAAATATTTATTTGCCGCCTACCATAACTCTTTGGTTGGTAGAATTTGTAAGATCTCTGGTGTCACGGGTTCGATTACGCCTTTGTGCAGGATGGAATTCTTGGTCGGGATATAATTTTAAAGCTAGTTATTACAATTATCCCAACAACCTAAGTTCTTTGAGATTGATGGCATTGTTTTCAATCAACAAAAAATGACCTCTCGGTCAAACAAAAGAACCTACCACCCTCAAAAGACACTTGGCTCACTAAGGAGATAGAAAAGATAACTGCATGCTTGGTTGATGAGTGCATTGACTTTAACTTTCAAGCGAAGAATTCTTTTAGGCTTGGGGATAACACAAGACAAAGCAAAAGGCCAATAATTAGATCCAAGGCTATAAATAATAATAATTCTTATTAATTTTATTCTTTTATTTACTTTCATGTCAAAAAATAAGAGTGAGGCAATATATATTATTTGGAGAGAATATTTTAATATTTAAATTTATTTTTTAAAGCATACAAATCAACCCAAATTAAGGATTCAAGAAAATAACCCAAAAATTTAATTGTGCCTTTAATTTGAAGTGGTGTTATTTGTTTCCAAATATAGAGAGATTTTAAGGGAAGGCTACTATCATAGCCTTTCAACAAATTTTAAAGGATATTTTCGTATAATTCCTTTAATTTTTTATTTTTTATTTGTTTTTTTTAACACTTCATAGGTCATTTATAACCCATTGATATAATGGAAAATAGCATTGATCTCCTGCTAAATACTTAACGTCTACAGGGAGGTGGAATTGCCAAGTTTATAAACCCAAAAATACCATTGTATTTCTTGTTTTATATTCTTCCACATCTTCACCACCTTTCTAAAGATTTAAGCAATTTAAAAGTCACCAAACTTGAGCTTTACACCCTCCACAAAACCCTAATTTGTATCGTCCATTTGCTTTAATCAATTCGCTTAAAAAATTCATAAATTCCAAATCACACATCTAATTGACTTAAAACTATCTCCATTAGTTAGCTAACAGCCCCTCTTCCATAAAAAAAAAATTATAATAAAAAAAAAAATCGAGCAAAGTGCTGAAATAGTGCCTTGGTTATTTAGATAAGGTCATTTTTAGTCCTAGAGTTTATAGAGGTGTCATATTGGTCACCGGATTTATTAAATAGGGGGCTCTAATAGTCAACCATAGGGACTATGTTAACCCCATTAAAAAGTTTAGGACTAAAAAGGCCATGTGTAAATAATTGAGGACTATTTTCACACTTCATTAAAAAAAAAAATCAGACAAACTATTACAAGAAAAGTTCAACCATAAGTCTGTCCCAAATCACAAAACTAGTGAATCTTTTTATTAGTCTTCCAACAATCCCAAAACTTCCAACTCAATTCCAACAACCTTTCAAAATCCTTTAACAAAATCCCCATCCATAAAACAAATTTTAAAAGATGCACAAAGTTGAGACTGTCTTGCTGCTCCGCCAAGCATGATAAGTGGGCTCATATACAAAATGGATTTGTAGCTTGAAAATCTTTTAAGTAATAAAATTTAAAGCTTTTCAACTTTAGTCCGCCCAATAAGTTTTATATTAATGGAAAAATGAAACTGCTAATGTCCATTTAAGAAAAAACTGGAAATTAAAAAATACTTCAATCTCACAAAAGTTCCGCAAGCTTGCAAGGGTGCTCCAATCATATTTATACTCAATCAATCACAACTTAAAAGACATACCATTGGTTGAAAAGCATCGGCGGAAGACAGCTCCAGCTGCATTCTCAGTGCACTCTTGTTCTCTGTTTTACCCTGAAGGTCATCAGAACTGTACTGCACTGGAAGAATAATATCAGTAGAAGGATTCCAAGAGTCTGTATCAATTCCATTAAGCACTCCAACAAATTTTTTGGAATGCACACGTAAAGTTTCATGGAGGCCGCGTCCACCCTGTCATATAAATACAAAAAATATCACAATCCAAGCTATTATAAGAAGCAAAATAGGCATCCCCATGTAGCTATGCGGAGTCATATCATCATGGCCATGACTTTTGAGTTACACCATTAAAAATGTGAATAAAAACAGCTCGTTCTCTCTTTTTTTTCCAATTGAAAACTTATGTTACATATTTATATACATTCCAATCTCTATAGATTAGGAATATTTGAATATTCCTAATAGAGGAAAGATCCTGCAATTATATCTCATCAAATTAAGTTATTTAATATAGAGCATACATCTATTAAATTTCCAATAAGCAAGCTTCATAATATACAACAATTAGATTTATTACTTTCCATATAACTCCCCCTTAAGCTGGAGTATAAATATGTATCATGCCTAGCTTGTTACAATTATAAGTGACTCTAAATCCATTAAGGGTCTTTGTGAAGATGTCCCCAAATTGTTCACCAACCTAAATTTACATGAGTTTTAGAAATCAATTTTTGTTGAATCTTTTTTATAAACAAATGTCAATCTATCTCAATATGCTTAAATCTTTCATTAAAGACAGAGTTTGAAGCAATATGAATTGCAGTTTGGTTCTCACACCACAACTTTGTTGGAACTATCATCTTAAAACCTATTTCAGTCAAGCATTGGAAAACTAGCATCAATTCACTCAGAGCTTATGTCATTGCTCGATACTCAGATTTTGCACTAGATCACGACACTACATTGAGTTGCTTACTTTTCCATGAGACCAAATTACCACAACAACAACAAAAAATCCAGCAATCGATTTGTAATCTATCTTAGAACTTGCCCAATTTGTATCAAACAAATATTCAATATTTCTATACTCATGATTCTGATATAAATTACCTTGTCCAGAGCTCCCTTGAGATAAGATAATATATGTTTCAAGGCTGACCAACGATTGACTGTGGTGGAAGCCATGAATTGAATTACAGTGCTAATTGTGATGCAGTTTAATTTTCCTACAAATTTCAAATAACATTCAAGTTCATTAAAAGGCTCTCCATCCTCATCAAGTTGATGAATAGAAAGTAACGAAGTACTGCATGGTTGAGATAGAATCCAAAACATAACTTCCTTGAGATAAAAAGATACTCTTCTTGCTCCTTCATACCTCACTCCCCAAGTACTTCAAGGAATCCAGACCCTTAGTGTTAAACTGATTTTGAAGAAATGATTTCAATGATAAAATTCTCTGCACATCGCTTTTAGTAATAATAATGTTATCAACATAAACCACCAATAAAATAATCCAACAAACAGATTGCTTGTAGATTAAGTGATCACTTTATTTTTCCGCATCCCAAACTCTTTTATTACTCGCTAAATTTTCCAAACCATACCCGAGGACTTAGCTTCAATTCATATACGACTTACGAAGATCACATCCCCCCCCTCCCCCGGCCCCACGAGCAATAAGCCCAAGAGGTTACTCCACGCACCCCTCTTCTAAAAGATCACCATGACATTCTTCACATAATTTTGGTGCAATAAGCAATCATTCATTACGACCAAAGATAAAAATAAGCAAACAAAAATCAACTTTACAGGATAGAACCAGTCAAGTAGTCAATCCCAAAAGTTTTAGATGACCCTTAACAACCAACCGAGCTTTTCAATGAGCTAAAGATCCATCAGAACGAAACTTAACTGCAAAGACTCATTTAAAGTTTAACGGTTTTCTTGTCATAATATAGTTCAACTAGTTCCCAATATCCATTTTAGGTTAGGCATTATTTCATCAAGCATCACTCCCATTACCCAGATTAGGATAGGGCTTGTTGAATATATTTCAGGACCTCAACAGAGTCAAGAGAGCAATAAAAGAGCAAGAAGTAGAAGATAGCTAGTTATAGTTAATGCAACGGGAAATGGGATGGGCGTGTTGACATTTACCTCGTCGAAGAGCAACAGATAAATCGAAGTCATTGGTGATAGGAATCTCACAACGAACAATTACCAACTTTACGGGGGTTTAGAAATAATTAGAAACTAAACCACATCGTGAAATAATGGGATCGTACAAATTCGATAAATAACTGAAATAAAAATTGAAACAAAATCACAATCAAAATAAACAGAAAAACACACGAGAATTTGCGTAGAAATACCTGAGAACTAGAAAAAACCGCAGAGCCACACCAATAGAAATTTTCACTATGAAATTCAGAAGGTTTTATAAAGAACTCAAAAATTTTCTCTTCATACACAACGAAAGCTTACAGAACTCGCTCTATAATATTTCATCTCCAATCCGACGCAAAATCACATCAAATCACTGAAATCCACCTCCTCGACACTCCTCACATTCACCGGGATGCTCATCGAAGAATATCGAAGGAAAAAATAGCAAATCTACTATTTTTTTGTTGCTCAAATTTAGGATTAAAACCAAATTTCGCTTGCAAACCGCTCGTGGCTCTTAGGCGCTCAGATGTGGGGGCTAGGCGTCAGGCCCTCCGTTCGACACCTAATAATGGGCACCTAGGTGTCAATAGACAGGCGCATAGGCGCCAACCCCTCTGAATTTGGGCGCATATGAGCCCAAAGCCGATGCCCAGGCGTCGACCCTACAGTGAACTGCGCCTAGCGAGCGCTTGAGCGCCCACAGTCGGCGCCTATGTGTCGGCTCCCTACATTGTTACCACAGATCATAACAATCTTCCACTTGGAGAAAAAACACCGAGCACCAGTTCTTTGTACATGTACCTACATCTGAATCGCCTTCATAGTCACTTACTGTAGTCATGTGACCTTCATGAAACCCAACTAAAGTCAAACATAGTTTTAGTTTCTCGATAGTCACCTTCATTAACATATCCACAGAATTCCAAGTTGTATATATCTTCTCCAGAAATAACTGCCCATCTTCAAGAAGAGAGCAAATGAAATGATACCTGAGCTGGATGTGTTCCGTCTTGGTATGAAAAACAGCGTTCTTAGCAAGATGAATCGCACTCATACTATCAATGTAGAGTTTTCCAATCCCTGCTCCTTGCCCAATTCTGTCAAGAAATTTTGTACCCAAATCATCTCTTCGCTAGCATTAGTTACGGCAACATATTCGACCTCCTTAGTTGAAAGTACAACAATCTTCTGTAACCTGGAAACCCAACTCACAGCTATGTCCCCTAATGTGAAGATATATCCCTTGTACTTCTTCTACTGTCCACATCTCTTGTCAGATCTGAATCTACAAAACTCTGTAGATTGATCCCTGCACTTCCATAGCAAAGTGCCCTATTAATAGTTCCATTAAAATACATGAGGATCCACTTCAACACCCCCCGATGGTGCATGCCTGGATTGCTAGTATACTTGCTGACCACTCTCATGCAATATCTGGCCTGGAACAAAAATCATCGCATACATCAAACTTCCAGCTGATGAAGCATACAGAATTCTTTCCATATGTGCTTGCTCTCCTTCAGAGTTTGGTGATAGCTCCTTCTATAGTTTGAAGTGACTACCTAAGGGAGTGCTAATTGGTTTCGCATCACTCATATTGAACCTCTGTAAGATCTTCTCAACATACTTTATCTGAGATAACTTCAGTGTTCCTACACTCCTGTCCATGTTGATTCTCATCTCGAGGATCTTCTTAGTTGGACATAAATTATTGATCTCGAACTCACTTGATAACTATTTCTCCAAGTCCCTGATTTTCTTCATATTTGCCCCTGGAATCAACATGGCATCCACAAACAAAAGAAAAAAAAATAAAACATTTAACAAATTGTTTGATGAAGCAACGGTGGTCTACCTGGCACTTCACGTATACATTATCTGACATGAACCTGTCAAACATTCCGTACCACTATCTCAGGGTCAACTTCAAACCATAGTAGTTCTTCTTCAATTGCAGATCAAACTTTCTTTGCTTGGAACCTTTTAACCTTTTGGTTGCACCATATATAGCTCTTCCACCAGATCTCCATGTAAGAAAGCTATTTTTACATCCATCTATTCCAGATGTAAATCTTCTTCTGCTACCAAACTTAGCACAAGCCTGACAATCATCATCTTCACCATGGGAGGAAGATCTCTGAGTAATCCACTCCTTCCCTCTACTAGAAACCATTTGCAACAAGTATTGTCTTGTAGCATTTGGTATCATCTAACTCCTCTTTCAACCTGCAGATCTACTTATTGTGCAGTGATTTTTTGTCATTTAGTAGTATCGTCAAATCTCAAGTTTGATTTAACTCCAACAAATGCATTTCTTCATCCATGATAAATTCTTACTCCCTTGAACCTTCAACACTAGTGGCCTCCTCAAAACACTTCGATTCACCATTATCAATTAACAACAAACAGTGCAAAGAAGGAGAATACCTTTGTATAAGTTGTTTTACTTGCTGGATCTTCTGACTTTATAGCAGGTGAGTGACGAGCTTCCAATGCTCCTGATTGATCACTACTTTCTCTATCTTTCTGATCACCAGTATCAACTATCTCCAAATATATGGATTCTTCAGAAGTAGCTGACGAAATATCTCGAGTTCTTAACCCTATCTTTGTATATCTCTATTTCGTTAAATGTGACGACCCTGATCCTTATGAATTTCTGACTCTGGTAATCCCAAAAATTATATTCAAATTCATCTGAGTCATATTCAATAAAGGTGCACTTGACAAATTTTGAGTTAAGCTTGCTCTTAGACCCTGTATCAACAATGCACGTATGCAGAACACCCAAATACTCTTAAATGGGATAGACATACCTTTTTGTCACTCTAGACTACTTCAGGTAAGCCTTCCTCCAAAGATATTGATGGACTACGGCTAATCAGATAAACTGCGGTGTTAACTGCTTCAGTCAAAAACTGTCTGGGCAAGTCTGCATGCAGCATCATTCTCCTAACACGTTCCGTGATTGTTCTGTTCATACGCTCGGCTATAACATTCTCCTGCAATGTCCTTGAAATAGTGAACTCATCTCTGACCCTCTCTGACCCACTTCTGAT